TAGATACCATTTATACGCAATAGACTGGAAAAAATTGCAAAGTCTAATCTCTTGGCAGTGGTCTGGAGAAACAGGCTCATGCACAGCTAGTGGGAGTGTCAAATGGGACACAAAACTGCGAACAACATAATGGCCCCTTCATAATAAACACACCACAATATATTTAGATACTGAAATACAAGTAAAATGAATGAACTACAGCAAGAGTTTTCAATCTTCTTGGTCTCAGGATTCCTTTACAGTCTTAAAACTTGAGGACCCCAAAGAGTTTTTGTTTATGTGGGTTCAATCTATAGATATTTACATTAGAAATTAAATCTGAGACATTTTAAAAATATTTATAAATTCATAAAAAATAAACTCACTGTATGTAAACATAACTTATTTTAAAATAACTATTTTTCAAAAAAAATAGTGCAAAGAGTAGCACTGCTTTACATTTTTGCAAACCTCTTTCAAGACAAGCTTAATAGAGGCCAGCTGGATTCCCATAACTGCTTCTGTGTTCAATCTGTTATGACATCATGTGTCATATAGCCTCTGTACAGAACCCATGCAGTGGACAGAAGAATGCAGCTGGAGGAATTTTAGAGATCCCTGGGAACTCCTAGGGCACACTTTGAGAGCCGCTGAACTAGATCCACATACCACATAGATAAATCGCAAAAACACACTAAGTGAAAAAATATATACAATGACAATCACAGTAGGATACCAGTTATGTAAAGTTAAAACACAGAGCAATACATACTTTTTTCGGTACATACATATTGGGGCAGTGGTTACTTCTGGTAAAGAAAAGACAGGAATGGGATGAGGGGCACTCTTTAACTGGATCTGTGAGATTTTCTTTCTTTAAACAAACAAAAAATGTTATGAAGCAAATATATAATAAAATAGCAAGATCTGTTAAATCTGATACTTTTCTGACATATTTGTAATTTGATACTTGTAATTCTGAAATATTTCATAATTTTAAAATTGTAAAAGTATTTTTAAAAATCCTAATAGCCACATCGTTTCCTTAAAGTGGACCTCCCTTTGAGTAAAATATTGTTCAAGATACCTGGATTTTATAAAGCATTGTTTGGAGAAATAATTTGACAGGAATAAGAATACACTGGTCTATTAACCCCAAAGTTAAGCAGTGGGGGGGCGGGGGGAGCCTTAATATGTATACTCCTTGGTCAAAGGACACACGGACTGGATGCTTGGATAGTTGAAAACTATTCAACTACATAAAATTCTCTGCATTCAGTGACTGAGATCATTGTTTTTAGAGATAATGACCATATGCCAGGTACTGCTTTGGAACAAGGATAAATGAGAAAACTGACTCGACATTTAAAGTTTAGAAAAGATGACAAAAACATAAACACACAGTTAAAATATAATAGGTTAAATGGTAAATTAAAGATGTCCCCATTGCTATATGAGACAGAAAAGAATGAGCCTGGGAAAATGAAAGTGCCGTTAACAGAAAGCTAGAAGCAGTTGTTTTAGGGGCTCCGAGTTAAAACATTTTTTTTTCAATAAATAGTATCTACTATGTGCCAGATAAATTTGGTTTCAGCCATGTTGAGATAGTCAAGACACCTGGATGGAGATGGTCAGTGGGCAACTGAAAATGCTACATGAGAAACTAAAATAGAGAGTGGGCATGGTATGAAACACTGAAACCACGGAGAAGATTCGAGAAAAAAGGATTGACCTTGAGGGAAATCGCATGATAGAAGACAGAGAAGGCACAGAGTTTCTGAAACACAGTGTGTTTTATATGACACACCTGGTGACATGCTGTGGAAGTTTTACCCTATTTAGGAATAAATGGGATGAAAAGAAATAAAAATACTGGTGAAAGGAAAGAGAAGACAGGTGAGGTTTTCATAAGATGAGCAAACCTAGGAATGTTTTTAAGAGGAGGGAAAGGCACCAGCAGTTAGCATGCAATGATGCAAGCCACAGAATCACTGACAGAGCCATGTCCTTTGGGACGGGTGGAGTGCACAAGCAGAGCAGCTGGGCCTGAAGGGGGCCAATTCTTCCTGCAGCAAAAAAACAGGAGGGAGGAAAGCCTAGGTAAGAGACAGAGGAAGAGCGGGAAATGGAAGGAAGAAAATTCAAATGCTTAGATCAGATAATCACATATCCTTCTAAGTAAAAGATTAGGCAATCTCTGTTAAGGCTGAGGGGTTTCAAGGGCGGGTTGAGGATTTAAGAGTAAAAAGCCTGGAATCACCAGTGTGCACAAACACAGATAATACAAATAAGGTCATCAGTGACAATAGGAGTCCAGATGGAGTTAGAGAGGAAGCATTTATGAAAAGCAATGTGGAGAAAAACTCTTTAATGCATTGTAAACATGTTTTTAAAAAAGGAAACTTGCATCTCTTTGAAACAGCCTCTTAACTTAAAAACTAACACCTCATTTATCCAACATGGTAGGCTAATAAGGTGTTGCACTAGTTTTCCAGGCCTAAGAAAGCATTTTATAGGTAACTCTTTGGGATAGAAATCCTTCCAAACTATGCCCTTACCCATCTTAGTTATACGACTCAAGTCTAACTATCTTTACCTTGAACATCCACTCTCACCGTACTAGAACATCTGCTGCTGTACTGTGCATGCAGCAATACACTTCTTTCTTAAAGCCCTTCTATGTCTTTCCCAGCTGTCAAGATAGAAAGCAACTGGTTCTTCTAAGTGTATGTTTACTCTTACCACCTCTACAATCCAGCCTGCATTAGCAATTGCTTCCAGTGGGCCTCCTACAATGCACTGTTTCTCAAACTTCCCTAAACCATGGCCTTTTATGATAACCATGAGAATCTCCAGTTCCTTCCCATGCTCTCATGGGGCGTCACTGCTCTGACCTGTGGCAGTCTAGGAATGGCAAAACTGAAACAAATTTCTAGTGACTATTTATGCTACCTATAGTTTTACATCATGAAATACTAGGACACACATTCCCCACACGTGGATAGTCAAAGATTAATCAAAACATGAGAAGGCTTGGCTTAGCAAACAGCGTTAGCTACCCTCTCAAACAAAAAGTTGGTTCCTCTCATCAGGGGAAAGAACGGGGATTGCAAAAGGCCATCCGAAGGCCGCTTTTTAGTAATGAGTTCCTCTAACCTACTTTTGAAAACTGACTTCTTAAAAAATTACCATGGGAATACTTACAGGTTCATTCCTCACTTTAGTAAAGTAATCCACAGCACTAGTCCTGTTTTCCAAAATAGTAAATGAAAAGTTAGAAACCCCTCACTGTTTGTCTACTAGAGAAATAATAACTCTGAGCGCAAGGTTATTTGGAGAAGTCAGGATAAAAAAAAATTTTTTTTTAAAAGGAGCAGCTGTCTAGTAGATGGATTATTCAGAAAGTAGCAAAATTGGCTTAACTTCTGAACATTCTTGGTAATCATTCCGGTAGTGAAAGCATTGATCGACTTGCTACTCTCATTATTTCTCAGCTTTGAAACTTTTCCTAGTCTAATGGAACTGCTATGTGAATATAAAGCCCCACTCAGGTGTGTCATTGCCCTGCTACTTGAGGGCTCCCCTGGCCTCCCCCATCGGGTATAAACAAGCCTTTCCACCTGACAAGCAAGCTCTTCCACCATCTACCTTTACTGGCCAGAACTCCCACCATTGCCCTACCCCAGGCAAAGTGTAAATACTTGTTTTCTGATGAAGCGTCACCCTTGAAATGCCCTTTCCCACCCCACCTCAGCCTAGGGAAGTCCTACCCATCCTTCAGTAACCTCAAAATGTCACCTACTTCAGGAACACCTTTCCTGGTGCTCCAAAAGGAAACCCTGCCTTCCTATGAAACCTCAGTAATTGGTTGTAACTTTCCCGCAGCACTTTCACCTCCTTTCATCTACCTCAGAACAAGGAACTTCTTGCAGCCACACTCTGCATTACAAGAACCTTTTTAACCTTTCTTAGCCAATAGCACAATACACTGCTAACACTGAGCTCCGAATTTACAGGCGAGTTGTGTAGTATGCAGGCAAAACTACTTTAAGGGATGGAATTCCACCTTCCAATTTTCCAAATCAAATAGAGAATTCTAAATACGATGAGAGGTACATGAACCAAAAAAACCACTGCATCACATTAAGTTGTCCTTCAGTAAGAAAATAAGAAAATTAACTTTCTGGCCTTTTCTTACTCCTCAAAAACAGTAAGTACTACCAACAGATCACAAATAGGTTAAATGCACCTTTTCAAAAAAGTTGTTTCCAAATAAATGAGCTCAAAAGACTTCAAAATGTTATTCCTCCGTTTTCGTGCTCTGCAATTTGCAGTTTTTCTTCTATCGGCTAAAAGTGGTGAGAGCTTATTTCCTATCAAATTTTATTTTTATTGTCTTATTGATACTCGAGAAGGCAATGATCGTTGGAAAACAACTGCATCGAGGACACCCTAATGGCCACGTATGACTTCGCCGCTTGAGTAATAAATTGTCTTGGGGTCCCATTTGCCGTGGTGACCCCAGGTGCCTGGGGTGCCACCCGCCCCGACAGCTCTCGGGTGGCAAACAAGCGCGAGGAAAAGACGCGGGGCCAGAGGCGCTAAGGGACGAGCTGGCCCCAGCGGCGGGGCGGCGGTGATGGCTGCCTGCCGCAGCTCAGTTAAAATGCAGCGGAAGCAGCAGCCAGTCACGGGGCTGGGGGAGGCAGGGCAGGAAGGTGGCGCTGCCGCTGAGCGACTGGAGCCCATCATGGCGGCGAGGGCAATGGCCGCCATGGGGCGCGAGCACGCCCCCTCCGCGCGCACACGCTGCCGTGCCGGGCCTCCGGAGCCCGTCACCGGAGCCGCCGCCGCCGGCCGCTCTCCGACCCCCCCTCACGGGCTGTAGCGGAATTTTCTCTTCCGACACCGCCTTCAAGATGGCGTCTGCCCCTCCCGACAACCCCCTCAATCGTCCCCTGCAGCAGGCGCCGAGCCGCCGCCATCTTGTCCCCCGTCCCTCCCCCCTCGCCGATATTTACATAGCGAAAATCGGCCCGGCCGGCCTGCGGCCTTCACCTCACGCCTGCAGCCTTCGCTTCCTTGCCAGGCCTCGCCCCCACGCGGTGCCCAAGCGGGCCGCGGCGCCGACCCCGGGCCCCCTCAGCCGCCGCCCGGGCCACCGGGCAACCCTCCCCCAACCCCCGCCCGTTTACGGAGCGCGCCTCCGCCGCCGCTCGGGGCAGCCGGGCTCCTCCCCGGGCCTAACTGCGGCCTCCTCGGGGCCTGCTCGGCGCCGCGCGCCACACCGCCCGGCCTAGCGCGGAAGGGCGCCTTGCGGGCCGCCGACCAGGCCGGGACCAGGCCGCTGCGGGCGCGCTAGGCCCCCACGGGCGCAGCGGCGCCCGGAACTCACCGGACGGGCGTGCGGGCGGGCGGCGACGGTGGCGGGTGCTGCAGGCCGGCCTTTCTCTGGAGCACTGGGCCGGGCTCCGGCTGGTGGGGCGGGCGGAGGGAGGGAGGAGGGGCCGAGCTCGGAGCTGACAAAAAGCGGCCCAGCTCCCCGGCACGGGCCCGCCGTCAGCACGTCACGTCACCGCCCGGGAGAGAGACCCAGGAAAATGCGGAAGGGTAGATGGGCCCCCTCCTCCGCCCGGTGGGTCCCCCTGGAGTCCCGGGTCGGCGCCGCATATGCCTCGCGACCGGGGAGTCCAGTGGCCTCTCTGCGGCGGGGTCTCCGGCGGCCGGAGTCTCCGTGACAGCGCCCCCCTTCTTTCCACCTCCTCCGCGCTCCCGCCCGCCGTCGCCGCCGCTACACACGCGCCGCTGCCGCCGCCTCGGCCATAAAGCCCGCGCGGGGCCCGACCCGGCCCGGCCGCCCCCTACCATGTCTTGTGGGCCGCGGCCGCCCCCCGGGCCCTCCCCGGAGACCTACCGACTCTCCGCGCCCGTCCTGGCCGAGGCGCCTGCTCGAGTTGTTTGCAGGCCCTCAGACCCCCGCCCGCAGTAAATGTGTTTTCTTCATCCCCGTGGCTGGAGAAGAAGATAAATTTAGCAACCCCCGCCGTCCCCTGCTTTCGCTTAAAAAAAAAAAAAAAATCTTTGAAATAAAATGAAAATAGGCTTGCCAGTCTAAATGGGTATGTGGGCAAGAGGAGGGGGAGAAGGGTGATCCTAAAGCAACTACAGAAACGTTTAAAAATTTTTTTTTTTAATAAGCATTCAGCCAGAGAGCCTAACTAATTTTATTAGTTGCGGGGGGCGGGGGGGGGGGGGGGGGGGGGGGGGGGGGGGGTGAGGAAAAGGGTTATATTTTGAAACTGGTTTCGCACATTGCAATAAACAGGAATTTTAAATGTATATTTTCTATATATCTGTGTTTCAGAGTTTGGGAGCCTATGAAATGGAAGTCTTGTGTAATTGTTTCATAAATAATCAATTTTTCACATTCTCTAATAAAGATGGAGCGAAGTAGCAGAATTGGGTAATTTTACAAACTACTTAAACAAGCCTCTTAAAGTTTAAGAAGACTTAGGAGAGAAGGGAAAATATGTATTTGATTAAACAAAGCATTTATCAACTCCAAAAATGTGTATTTTGCATTTTCATTAGTTTAAATTTTTATGTTCTTAACATACTGAACTTGGGAGCCAAACTGTTTAAAAGTTACTAGTTAAATGTTAAATAGTGTGGTCTTTAAATTAATCGGGAAATCTGATATGCTTTATTTAGTTCATTAAATGTTAGATAAAGACATTTTTAACAGTACAGAACACAAAAGTTATAAAGCAAATGGCATACTGGTGTGAAATCTCTTTAAATACAGAAGTCATATATTTTAGTTTCCTGTCATAACTTTTTAAAACTCCCAGAGTGCAACTTGTCCTTTCCTCAGACATCTTACAAACCAAAAACACAGTAAGAAGAAATCTTAGAGAATGTACTGGATGGTAATTTTCCTCTTAAGGCTTCAGCTTTGATTTTTTTTTTTCAAGCAATTAAATTTCCTTTCAAAAAATGATAAATGACAATATGTCTTCATCATTTATAGAAAACCCCATCAGGCTATGATAGAGACTATATTCACAGAAAGCTAAATAAAACTTTTCAAGTAAGAAAAAATGACAAATACCTTGTTACACTAATATAATTTCAAAAAATTGATAAGCAGCGTTTAAATACTTTTACTTTCCAAGGGCCTCCGTTTAATGCTATGGTATGTAAAGAATGGGGTTTCATCATCCATGCAACTATAAACAGCATGAACACAAAAACCTAATGTCAGCATTCTTGTTCTTCCATAATTACGATAAAATACTTCTAAGTCCACCAGTATAAAGCACTTAAGAAGAGGGTCAAGGACCACAAATGAAAAAGAGGTTTCCTCAATTTAAAAGACCAGAAGTATTATAGTTTAGGTATTGATACTTTTAAAGAGTCCTTTGCGTGCTCCCTTGGATAGCTCAGTTGGTAGAGCAGAGGACTGTTAAGAGTTCCTTACCATTACTTTTCATACTTTCATAGAGACTGTTAACTTTGATGGGAAACAAGGAGAGGATGACCTAGTTCTATTAACTACTGAAGTCCAACAAAGATTATAGATGATTGCACAGATGAGGTTAACTACTCTTTTTTTTTTTTTTTTGAATTTTCAAATAGGGGAAAGTAACTTCAAATTAATTTATGGAAGGCTGTAAAGGACGGTATATGATAAAAATCATTTTACTGGAAGTACCCATAATATAAAATACTCATGATAAAGGGAAGGCGCAAAGGAAGTGAACAGCAGAGATCAGAAATCATTCGGTGTTATAATAAAATGCAAAATATAGCTTATGAAACGATTCACAATAGGACCTCAAGGACACCTAAGATCACTAAAAGCATTTGGTAAGCACACATTGGATGATTAACAGGACGTCTTGCACTTAAAGGCCCTACTACAGCCTATCTTGCACTGATACTTTTTTGTTCATTGTTTTAGTGTTAGGGACCTATAGAATTCTGGGCACAGGGAATAAAAAGATGTGGTGCTTGCCCTTGGAGAACTCCAAATAAGGAGATTGCCTATGGCAGAATAAAAACAGTCTTAAGTGTGATCATTTTCTCAAATAAACACAATAAAGGGAAATTTAATTTAGGGAGATAAAGAACATTTCCAAGGCATATGCTGTGAATACAAAATAGATGGTTTTCAAAGCAGTCAAAGCGATTTTGGTTATGTGCTAAAATTTATTTGTTCCTTCAGAGCTGTTAATGTATATCAGATAGTTAAAAGCATCTACTCAAGGTTTTGACAGTGTTTTAATAACTTAACTAAAAATCCCTGACATGTTTATAGGTCCTTGAGCCAGAAATAATACAAGGCCTTTCAATCATTTTTCTAGAGAAAGATTAGCCGGAAAAGAAGCTATTACAAAAAATTTAAAATGCTGTTGATTTTCACTCCACATCACTGATTGAAATCCAAATGAGAGACAAATTATTGGCTTATGAGAAAATATACACCTTCTTGAATAAACTTGTGATAATTGATTATTTTGTATCCCAAAGGTTAAAAAACATTTACTTTCCCCTAGAAAGGCCCTGATTTTATTGAACTAAGCACACCCTATAAAAATTAACCGTTTATCTGATACTTAAGTTATCTTATATGTACTTAACATGAGCAAGTTGCATCATGTTGGAATTCAGCTGGCTACAGTTAATGCCAAGTAAGAATTTTTAACCTGAGTCTTTAAGCCACATGCCCCGCCCCCAAGAGAAATAATTTTCAAATAAACAATGACTGATAATTAGGTGATTTTCGAACTATTTTTCACTCAGTCATTAGTTGAATAAGACATTGTTTAATCCCTGAAAATCACCAACAGCCAAATTCTACCTCACGGATTATAAATCACAGGACATAACAAACAAACTAGCTCCACTAAAGAGGTGAAAATCATTATGTGAGACCTATAGAAACAATGACCAGTAATAATGAGCACCGTGGGTGCCCAGATTGGGATCTCTATGTACAATTTTCCACTAGAGAAACCAGGGTTCCGGGAGAAATAACTGATTACTGGGCTGGAGCAGAAAAGTACAAGACGGAGCAGGAATATCTCCTCATAACAGAAAGCATCCAAGCTTACTAGGGGTGTGTCAAAAGGTCTTAGGGGCCAGTTTAAAGAGGTTCTAGCTGGCTAAAGTTGAACGTCAAAAGAATAATTGCTATGGATTGAAATGCATCAAGTGGGTTGATGAGTTTGTAATCAGATTTTTAAAATGATCAACTAGTGATGGTTGCACAGCTTTGTGAATATACTAGAAACTAGTGAATTATACACTTTAAAAGTGTGCATTTTATGGCATGTGTATTATATCTTGATTTTTTTAAAAGTATAACCTTTGGAGAATGCTAGAGAACTAACTCATTATTTTGAAAAGTAGTTAAGGGAAAAATCAGGCACTTATCCTGTACGAACTCTTCCTCAGGCTAAACAAATAGTTGATGGAGGGAGTTTTCTTTTAATAGAAGTATTTCAACTTATACATGAAGAAGGCTTGATAGAATTGAATATCACCATTTTGCAACCCCTAATTAATCAATGGATCTAGGCAGTGATAATCAATGGTTGCTAAGCAGAGTGACAACCAAACAGACATATGCCTCAAGACGGAAGTAAGTACACAAGGCCACTAGCAGAGAGGCGGCCGGTGAGCTCAGGTGATTAGAGCACAGGCTCATAACACCAAGTTTGCTGGTTCGATCCCCACATGGGCCACAGAGCTGCACCCTCCACAACTAGACTGAAACAACTACGTACTTGACTTGGAGCTGATGTGTCCTGGAAAAACTCACTGTTCCCCAATAAAATTTAAAAACAATGCCACTAGCCGAAAAAAATCAAACCTGAACATGATCAACCCTCTTGCTCTGTCAGTTTACAGGAAATACAGGAGACAACAAAGCATATCAATGAAACCACAGGGATGCAATCAACAAAACCCAGATGGTGGGAAACTCTATGCAACCTGCTTTCTCCGAAATAAATTATAAGAAAAAAAAAACTGGAGAGGAAACCAATAGATGAGAGAAGACTTAAAAGACATATCAATCAACTGCAGTATATAAACTTTATTTCAACTTGATTCAAAGAAGTATAAAAAAATGATGAGACAATCGAAAAAAATGTGAATACTGGATTGTTGTCAACACTGACAAGATATATGCTGATATAAACAAATTGTTAATTTGGTTTAGGTGTAATGATGGTGTGATTATATCTTAAAAAGAGTCCTTATCTTTTATCTTTTAGACATACATTATCGAACTACTTATAGATAAAATGATATACTATCAGAGAAGA